GCGAACGATTGTCGCGGATGATCCATATGGCTTTTTCCTGAAACAGATTTCACCACAATATCGTCAATGTATATTTGCATAAAAGATTCAATGAAATCATGGAATATAGAATTCATCGCTCACTGATACGTTGCCCCAGCGTTCTTTAGGCCAAATGGCATTACTACCCATTCGTAAGTGCCTAAGGACCCTGGACAACGAAATGCTGTTTTGGGAACGTCATCTTCCGTGATAAAAATTTGGTTATATCCAGAATAACCATCCAACATACTAAGGTACTCATGGCTAGCGGCTGAATCAACTAACATTTCCGTCACTAGCATCGAATATTCGTCCTTGGGAGTGGCTGAATTCAAATCTCTGAAATCAATGCACACTCTTAGGGACCCGTTCTTCTTGATGACTGGGACAATGTTGGCCAACCATTCGACATACCTCGTTGTGCGAATGAATCTGCAACGAAGGAGCCTTTCGATTTCCTCCTTGATCTTCGACATGATCTCTGGAGCAAAACACCTTGGGCCCTGTTTGACTGGCTTCTTTCCAGGTTTTATTGGTAGTTTATGTTCCACCAAATCCCTTTGCAACCCAGGCATTTCGTCATATTCCCAGGCAAAATAATCCTTATACTCCCGGAGCAACTGGATGACTTTGATCTTCAGTTGAGGTTCGAGGTTAGCACTAATGTACGTTGGCCTCCTGGTTGGACCCTCTCTTAAATCAATTTCCTCCAATGGATCCTGTGCGAGCATTTTGATGTCGTTCTCCAAAGGATCTCTTTCGAACCCCAGAGGTTCGTCATCATAGATGGCGTCGAGCCTCTGGCTCTCCCGCTGCATTTTGGTGGCTTCTTCAGCCATTTTGTCATGGGCGGCCATTACGGCCGTTTGTAATTTGGTTTCAGCCACATAGGCCGAAATTCTTTGCAGCACCGCTGCTTCAGTCATCAAACTCACTGCCCCACCCAGTGGGGTCAACTGGGGTTGCCCCCAGGTATGGGAGTCTCTCCCCAGGTATTTCTCTATCCCAACGAAATTCGTCGACAGGGTGGAGGTATAGTGAGTAGTACACATCGTCATTTGGTGCGAACTCAAAGTCCGCTGGAGCACAAGGGCCTATGCTGGCCAAGTGCTTGTCGAATTGGAACTGATCTACTTGCCTTCTTGGCACCCTGAAGTATCCTTGATCAGCTTCAATATTTTCAACTATGCCATCTGGCCTCCAGATGGCAATCCTTTGATGCATCGATGATGACACTGCTCCAATTCCATGTATCCATTCTCGGCCAAGCAATAAATTGTAGTTGGCTGTGGTTTCGACCACCATGAATACCGTTGGTCTTGTAATTGTTCCGACGGTTACGTCCACCTGAATCACACCCCTGATGGTTCCTACTTTTCCTTCATAATTCGACAAAACCATATTGTGTGGCTTTGTATCAGCGTCATGCTTTCCTATTTTGGTCAGCAAAGAATGTGGCATCAGGTTTACCGTAGCGCCACAATCCACCAGTATTTTGTTGATGGGGATGTTCTCCACTTTTGCTGTAATATACAACGGTTTCAGGTGGGTCCTCATTTCTTCAGTGGGCCGTTCGAAGAAAGCATTTTGCTCTTCGAAACAGCCGTTGTTCATCACGTAATAGCATACAGGTTTATGTGCTGCCATTTCCCATTTAGCGTCTGCGCCTGATTCTTCGACCTCTGAAACCCTATCGAACTCCCGGGGCATCACCGACACCATGTTGACCACCAGGTTCAAAGAGTCATTGGATTCGGACTCAAAGTTATCTGTCATGTCTTCGTCCTCTTCCGTTGGTCTGTCTTGTTTAGGCGAAAACAGCCTTCGCCCAACTGGTAACTTTTCAGCTATCTTCGACTGCTGTCCTTCTTTTCCGGGGGGTTTGAACTATTCTTTGACTGATTTTTCTCCATCTCTTCTCTGAGAGCCTTTCTTCTTCTTTGCTCTCTCCTCCATTGAGATCTAGTCATAGGATTCTTACCTTTATAGTTTTCAGATACGTGCGCTGTTTTTGAGGATTGATACTCCTTGTTGTCAGAGACCGAAGATCCTCGATTTACTTCGAAGTTCTTCCACATTTGCTGCCCTTGCACCCTCTCTTCATTAGGCTTCCTCCACTTTCCATCAGCGGAATCGACAACAGGTTTGAAACTGGCGGGCCTAGCACTTGGTGGCCTAATTCGAGGTTCAGACCGTTTGTCTTTTGTCCTCCTGTGGTAGCTCTTTCGTTGATCAAAACCATGGCCACCTTTGTTCAGTCGACGTCGACGTTCTCCCTCTAACTTCTCTGCTGCTTTTCTATCGAAAATGGCACTGCACCTGGGGTACAGCATCACGCTCGATCCATTGTCTTTGCACCGATGTAAAAAACCAACGATTGACTCTTCTGTCTCTGGGTATGCTAACCTGCTACATCCCTCATGGTGTTTTGATTCTTTCTCTTCCATGGTCTCCGATGGGTTAATGTCGACCATATTAACTTCGACCATCCCAGCCAGCTCCATTCTTTCCAAGCCCTCAGTGGCCTGGTCCATTTTGACGAAATGGTCAGCTGTTTCCTTGGTTACCATGGCGTAACTTGGATGACTTTGAACCCCTAGACTTGAATCGTTATCGTTTCGACCAGTATTCTCCTTGACTGTGACTGCCGCATCGTCCAAACCGAAACCCATGACGAATTTCGCCATCACTGGTGCTGAAATGAGGTCCTCAGTGACCTCCATCATGTTAACAGAAAACTCGATGCCCTCAGTAACATCTATCATGTTTGCTTCCATAGGTTCAGCATAAAGAGCATCAACCAATTGCAGCGGATCAGCATCCACCTTCATCTGGCCCTTCGCCTTATCTCTAAACTTCAAGCGTCCCTCCTGTATCGCATTCTGGACAAGATTCCTGAAAAGAAAACATTGAGATGTTTTATGACCCAGAAAATTATGGTACTTACAAAAACCTCTCTTTTTCCGCTGCTCTAAGGGCGGTGTTGTAGCACCAGGCGGCACTATCATCTGCCCATCTTTTACTAGCAAATCGAAGATTTCATCACATTTCGTGATGTCTAAGGTGTAAGTTTTCTTAGGGAACCTGTCGTTCTTTTCTGATTCGACAAAGCCCTTTCCTTGAGGAGGGGCCAGTACTCGACAAGAATATGGGGGACCCTGTTTTAATTCAGCAAGATCGACTTCGTTCTCCTCGAAGTAGGGGGACTCTTCGCAAGCCCCTTCGCTACTTTCGTTGAGTTCGACAAAAGCTACTTTCTTGCCTTTGTTAAATCTCGCCTTTTCGTCTTTCAGCCTTTCTAGCTGTCGGACTCTGTCGGCCAATTGGGTCATATCTCTCAGATACTGCGTATCTAATTTCTTCCTAATAGAGTAATCTAAACCTCCTGCTACCATTTCGACCAACTCATGTTCAAGCACCTGTGTAGAACAAAATAAACCGATGTCATGAAGGACTTAGACCATTGAACCACATTCTATATGTTAAAAAGCGGGAAATGAATGATGAGACACATGCAATTTGAAAAACAATGGTTTGTTTAAGTTTATTTTCAAGAATAATTTAATTTTCAGATTACATATTTTTTCATCAGTTTAAATGGTTGTATGTTGCTGTGAGGTTTATTGAAAAATAAGCAATCTTCATATTTTATAATAAACTCTGGGTACTTTCAACAACGACTATTTATTTTATCTGTGATGAAATGCTATTTACCTAAATGTGTATACCACAACGGTTGATACAAGTAACCGTTGTGGTAGGTAGCTTGCGTCCTGCCTTAATATCACATTCTCGCGACCGTGGTGGAAAGCACCAAACATACAATCACCCCTTACCTCACAACGGTTGGTCAGACGTTGTGGTATCCCTTTTCCAACCGTTGTTGTATGGATTTTTCGTAGTAATGTTATTTGAGTTGCTTATTTATAAATGTTCAAATGAAATAAGGTTTTTAAGTAGGCTAATAGGTCAATCATGCTTTCGAAAAAGACCAAACTCATGCATAAAAATAAGTCTACAAAATGCTATATGACAGACTTAGGCTTTAAACTTTTTAACAAGACAGATTGAAGTTTGGCAAAGTTTAACTTGATCTAGTTTATCACACCCTACCCCCAACCATTCTTAACCACTCCAACAATAGAACTAATTAACTCCTCGAAGAATACTTCTTTCTAGACAATGAGGAATCACCTCCACCTAAATTTCAAAATTTAAGTGTTCTCCGCCCAAACCCCTTCGACCCTACCCCTAAGGAGTTTTGCTCAGAGTTGAACGTTGCAAAAGAAACTCACTACAAATTCGACCTAACTCAATCATCATGTCAAAACCTAATTTTCAAACCATCTCCGATCACCTTAATACAAGAAGTGACAAACGAATCTATCCCTTATATAATATTATATAATATATAATATATAATTGTATATTTTATTATTTATATTTTTTAATGTGCCTAAAACATTCAACAAAGGGATTTATGTTTACATATATTTTTTGGAAAAATAAAATCATCTTTAACTAAACTATAAGGACTTAAGTGATTCTCAGTAATTCTCACAAACTAATATATAGGGAGGCACAGTCTCTCATAAAACAAAAAATGCACAATCAATTCAGCTTTAGAAAAAAATCTGTTCTGGTTAAAGTGAACATACTTTTAAGTATATAACAGTTTTACACACATCCCTAATAAAAAATGAATATCACACAGTTATTGTTAACATACACTCACATGCAAAATCATTAGTTTTCCTTGTTATAATTATTCATCGCTAAAACTATAAAGTTAGGACTGAAAATATAATTGGGATCATTCAAAGTAAGAAAGGTCCTTCCCTTTGGGAAGATAAATATTAACCAATATCATAAACAAAATTAAACTAAGAAAATAAAAAAGAATAAATTTTTATCTTATAAAAGATGAATAAAAATATAACAAAAATAATCCATAATATCTTGTAATTTATGGATCTAATCTAACCTTGCCATAATGGCTTTTGAGATTGATTTTGTTCATCATTCATGCAGTTTCCAATTTCTGCAATGCTTAGAATATCACTATGAGAAAGTGGCCTAAGACCCAAGAAATCTCTAGTCAATCCTTCATTTCCACCACCTCCTCCACCGCCACCGTCGTCCCTGGTCGGTGTTTTTGAGTGTGTTTCATGATGGTCTTTCTTTGGATTCATAATGCCGCCAAACATTTCATCAAACTGAGTTGATTCAAATCCAGAAGGAGATGAAGAAGAAAACATAACATCATGAATATTACTAAGATATGACGATGTTGTTGTCGTCGTTCCTGCTGTTGTGTTTTGTTGTTGTTGATGTTCATGTTCTCGTGATGATGATGATAACAAATTCAAACCAAAATTACCAGAAGAAACATTGTTGAGAGAATCAACTTGGTGGGACCTAACATTCATAGCTTGTGAAGAAGCAGAAGCTGTTCTATTCATAGTTGCACCCATCTGAGCTGCTTTCTGCAATAATGCAGTAGCTGACATGTGTGGGGAAGGCACTGTTTGGTAAGGAGGCAATGTGGGCCCATGAACATGAACAAGATTAGGGTTAGGGTTTTCTTGACGTTGTTGTTGTTGTGTTTGAGAGAATATTGATGATGAGATTTCACCAACATTTTGTGGGCCAAGCCAAGGTGGAATTTCTGAAAGATTAAAACTTTGATGCTGTTGTTGATGTTGTTGTGGTTCTTTTTTCAATAATGGAAAATTATTATGAAGCTCTTGTTGTTGATGTTGATTCTGATTATGATTATTGAATTGAGTTTGTAGATTTATCATGTGGTGATGATGATGAGAAGATGATGGTGATTGTGATGAGGGTATAATTGGAATTGTATTATTTGTGATAACTCTTGCACTTTCTTCTGCTAATGCATCACAGAATGCTCTATGTGTTATGAAACTGTCCCTCCTGAAAAAAAAAATTATCATCTAATAAAATTACAAATTTACCCTTTCTCTCTCTCTCTCTTAGCTTTTTCAACATACTTTCTGATAGCTTTAAAGACAAATAGTCTATTATAAGGCAGTGCATTAAAAATTTTCCTAACTTGGAATTTCCACTTTTTCATAAGAATGGAATAAGTGATTATGGGAGAGTGCTATATCAATGTCTTATCAATTATCATCCTGATCTTCTTCTTCAACAATGTATGCAAAATAAATGAGAAAAAACTATATAATAAAATATAATATTAAATGTGAAATTTATGCATTAAAGTCAACCTAGGATTCAATTCAAACATGATCAGAAACCATAAATGAATGTTCAAAAAAATTCTCATATGACATTGATTTTGTTGTTACCTTGAGAAGAGAGTTCCACAGTCACATCTATACTCTCTTGTTCCACATGTTTTAGAATGAGCTTTCCAATCAGATTGAACAGCGTATTTCTTTGAACACTTTTCACATTTCCACTTCTTCTCACCGTGTTTTCTGCAAAAGTGCTTCTTGATTCCAGTCAAATCTCCTAAAGCCCTTGATGGATCATGATGCACACAAGATGTTTCTGGACATACATACACTTTCTTCCTGATTTCTTTGCTTGTTCTTTGCTTCAACTTCCATGGTAAGTTGTGTCCTCTTCTGTGAAGCTGAAGATTTTGATCTCTTTGAAAACCTTTGTTGCAGATCTCACATATGAATCTGTTTTTCGCTAGTAAGCTCTTTGGTGACATGGCTATAACCTCAGCATCAGGGTCTGAAAAATTTACACAAACGTAATTATTTTTCACATGTTTATCAAATTTACAAAAGTTTTGATTTTTAAAATGAAATTTGAAAAAAGTTAGAAAAACAAACCTGGGTTACCAGGGAGGTTTCTCTTTTTTTTCACTGGTTGAGATTGTGTTGGAGGAACCAAGTATTGTTGTTGTTGTTGTTGTTGGTAACTACTACTTGTTCCAAATTCAGTTCTGTTACCAGAAGAAGCACTAGCTTCACCAGATGCAGAAGTTAAATTTGACATGTTTTCTTCCACCACTTGTTGCTGTTGTTGTTGGAACATCATTAAACCTTTGACCATGTTATGATTTTGCACGTTTGAGAAAACTAAGGATCTTGTAGACTAAACTCTAAAGATCTTGTTTTTTTCTTTTCATATGATGGTTAAGATTTATTTTTTTTGGATCTAGAGACAAAGAAAAAAAGTTGTCAAAGAAAGTTATAGACTAAATAGTTGAACACAGTAGTGAATAGTGGAGAGATTGAGAGAGAAAGAACAAGAGAAAAGAACAAAAGAACCTAAGAGACAAGTTTTGTTTTTTATTTAAGGTAAGAGAAGGAACAAGAGAGAGTGATAAATGGAAGTGAAGATGTTTCTTTGTTGTTGTTGATGGTTTAAAAAACCATAGTTGATAATGTTACCAAGAAAATCCAACTATAGCCACACATGTATGAACAAAAGTATAGACTTGGTTATTGTTTAAACTCAGAGAGAGAGAGAGAGAGAGAGAGAGAGAGAGAGAGAGAGAGAGAGAGATGATATGGATGAGAAGAGGGAATCCCTGAGCTTGTCCAAAACCACAAACCAAAGAAGAACCCTACTGCTAAACTCTGACGTTGCACTTTCTGTCTTTTCCTCTGTTCTTTTTCTCAACTATACAAAATATTATTATTTTTATTATTTTTTAGAAAAGGCTTTTTTTTTTGTTGCTAAAACCTTTTTTTTTTCAAATATACCCTTGTACAGTTGTCTTTCCATTCTCTTGCAAAATAATTACAAAAGGGTGAATAGAAACAACAAGCAAAAAGGAGTATTATTTGTAAATAGCATAATTTTTCACAAGTTTTTCCTTAATAGAGTCTTATTACACTTCAACTTTTTGTATGTCTTTTCATTTTTTTCTATCATATATTAGTGTATCATTTCTTTTGAATTGTGAAAATTGAATGGAAAGTGTGGGAAATGGTGTGTTTCTCTCAGCTTTTCAATGGAAAATGATTTCTGCACTATCATTAAATATTTCAACATAGAAAAAAAATATAGAAATTAAAAGATTAAAGAGAAAAAAATATATAGAAAAAAATGTTATTAATATGTCGGCAAATAAATTTAAAGATTTTAAATTTGATTCAGTTATTTATCAACCGTTCGAACAAACAGTTCGATTTTATAGTTGAATTTTATAAATATTTTTTATACTAATCTTAGTAAAGATTATACATTATATCTTAAATCAAGAGAGAGTCCATATATTATATATACTAAAGAGTATTTAGATGAAATCATCAATCTGTGTTTAATTAGATGTTTTTTTAACTAGATATTTTAGGTTTGAATTCAGTTATGTGAACATAGCAATATTAAATTTTCTTAAAAGTTTTTAATCACTCATTGTTATTCTCTCCGAGTAGATGGATTGGTTTCTATTGTAGTAAATTAAAAAAAAATAAATGATCCATATTACTATTTATTTTGTTTCAAAATAATTGTCTCACTAAATAAAATAGGTTTCCAAATAAATTTTATTCTCCTTTTTAAATATATAAATAATTATTATTATTTTTAATTATATCCTTTAATTATCACTTTCCACCTATCTTAAAAATATTTATAAAATTAATTTAACATGCAAAACCATTGAAAACTATAGTCATTTTAAAAGGAGTAGTAATTAATATTCGCATATGGTTAGGAGTGACAGAACGGACCTGATATTTGAATATATGTTTGTTTTGTCTCTAGTGTAATCTTTCATTATTTAATGTGTCTGTTCCGTTTCTTTCGGTTTTTTTTTTTTACAATTTTTTGTGGACACTAATATTTACATATATAAAATTTTATGTTTTTAAATTTAAAATATTCAGTGTCTGCGAGCATTTTTCACCCATCTTCAATTTTCTGCAGACTAAACTTTAATTTTATATTTGCATTTTTCACCCATCTTCAATTTTCTGCAGACTAAACTTTAATTTTAAATTTACATCCTCAACTATGATCACTTCCGCTTTATTTTTTTTCTGACTTTTACTAAATAGATTTAAATGAAACTGAGATTTCCGTTTATCACCCCTACCTACACATGAGGAGGGAGAGTGTGAGCCATTGAGAAAAAAATCCAAGTACTTAAATAACATGATGGCAATAATACACTTTTCTTGGTTTTGTAGCTTTTACCGTGACATGATTGATTCATTGATTAAATTCTAACAAGCATGGCTAAAAGTAGTCCCCCCCTTTGAATAAATTTTTATATATTTAATTTCATCATCTTCCATTTCACGATCATTGTAACTATTGACTATGAAAAAAGCTGAATTTATTCTGACAAATTTTTGCATGGTTCTTTGTTTTAAATTGTAAACAAATGATATTCTTAGCAGTTTATGGATCTACAATGCCAAAGCTGCTTGCCTAGCTAAAACTTTTGGCACAATTTTTAATAGCCACAATTTTTGTCCCCCTAGTCATTTTCAATTCATAATTGTCATTATCACTTTGGAAAATATTTATTAACAATATGCATATTTTTAACATATTCTTTTATTGATTAATAATTATTAAATTTTAATCAATAAAAATTAATTATTTGGTTTGTAGACAATTCAACTTGATGTATAATTGCAAATATTGTGAAGTACAGGGCATTTTGGCCCTCTTTAAGTTTAACTCTATCGAAATCTACCAAAAAAAAATGGACGAGATAATAGAACTAAGACTATGTTTTTAGAACTAAGACGTATTTAAAATACAAAATTTTATATTTTTTATAATTAATTTATGATAAAAAAATTTATACATATATTTTAATATCAATTTACATTTTAAAATTAATTTACATTAAAATTAAATCTATAAAATTTTGGCTGTTTTTAAGAGTATTTAAGACGGATTTAAAATATAAAATTTTACATATGATAAAAAAATTATACATATATTTAATATGTTAATTTACATTTTGAAATTAATTTATATTTTAAGAAAATCGATTAAAAACTTTCGCATTTATTTAAAGTTAACTTCAAATTTTTGAGAGAACTTTGAATATAGTTAAAATAGAATGACTCTCATTCAAAATATTTGGTCAATATACGTAAATCTGACCTGTTTTGTCAAGCTAATTGTAGTTGTAGTCAAAAGTTCTAAAATTTTATAATTTTGTAATTTTGTGATATGCTAATTAATATTTTTATAAGTAATTTATTAAAAAGTTTAATTAATATGTGTTGACTGTATAAAATAATTTAATTTATTATTTAATAAAAATTCAACAGTGGTATATCATATTATTAATTTAAAATTAAGGTTTGGTTTTATGGGATAAAATATAGGATGATAATTGATTAATGGTAAAATTATTTTACACATAAATGCATATTTCATTTTCTCTTTATTAAATAGTCATATTCTCACCACTATACTACAACGACGGATAAAAGAATTGGCTTTCTAGAAATGAATTCTGTTTTAGTAAAAGAACTGATAAAAGGAAGTGCCTAGATAGAATTATAAACAACATAATGTATAGAGGGTGAACTAGTCCTAAGCTTAGACCACATATAGCTAGGTTGATTTTATCTTAAATTAGTTTTGTTTGTTTATTGGCTGGATCCTCTGATCGCCTTGTTTTGTCCTATTTTTTTGAGTTAATGTCAAATTTCTTGATTAAAAAAAAAATAGTCATATTCACTCTTTATAAATATCATGACATATAGCTTAACAAGTGGTGAAGAAATTTCTTGTAACTATTTTAATAATTATATAAAAAATTCAAACCTTTCTTTCGCATTTATTGAGATTTTGTGTGTACTTTTCTAGAGTCAATATCTCTTTTTACTTTTAAAAAAAATGTATTTTCATATAAATGGTCAATCTAGTAGTAAGAGCTTAATTTTATATTTTTCATGAATATATAATTTAATTTTTATGTAAAATAGCTCTAAAATTATTAATATTAGTAGTACCTTTCTATTGAAAATATATTTAAATACATTTTTATATTCTATTTTATCCAAAATGAATTTGTAATCCCCCGTTTCTAAATTCCACTTTTTTTTTATTTCTCTATTAAGAAATCTTGAAAAAATTTTGGCCTTATTTTATTTATTTATTGTTATCTTGAAGTTACTTCGTTTTCTATTTCATTATAATTAAAATATATTATTTATTTTATTATTCTATTGAATATTAAAAATGAATTAAAAAAACAAAAAAGTCATCATGAACACCATATGACCCTAGTAGATTTTTCTATTGTTCACACTAACATCTATCTGGAAAAAAAAACCATCCTTCTCTATTTTATTTATCCACCATGATTATAAACATCACAAATAAAAAAAACAAAAAGTACCTCTATTTTAATGTCTTTTAATTTTTAGTCCCTTTATTTTAAAAATTATTAAGAATATAATTTTATGTCGAAAAAGTTAGTTTTGAAATGGATTTCGACTTAGACATAATTTTATAGTGAATTAAGTATTTTGAACTTCGTATTTTTGAGCTTTGCTTAGGGACAAACAAGCCCAAAATCTATAAATAGTTAGTAACCTCTATTATTGTATAACAATTTTTCAGTTGCAAAGAAGAAGATTTAATTTTGAATAACAGAGAGAAACTTTGCAGAAATTTTCTTCCTAATTCAACTTTCTTTCTTCTTCCATTAATAATTATTGTGTAGAATCATTCTTGCAATCAAGTTGTGATTGATTCACTCGAGTGAAGAGTGGAGAACAAGAGAGGAATTTGATCACTTGATTGAATCTTGTTCATCAAGATTGGTTCAAAACTCTCCAAGATCAGAGCTTCGGTTGTGATCTGTGGAAGTAAAATACGATGACAATAAACCACCCAAACAGGCATTTTTCGACGAGTCTTCTAATTCTCAAGAACAATAATTATGAGAATTGGGAAAAATAGATGAATGTTGTTTTCTGTTATCAAGATCTTTGAGATCTTATGAAGGAAAGAGTAACACCGCTTGCAGAAAACGCGACGGATGAAGAAAATGTTGCATACAAAGAATTTAAAAAGAAAGATTATAAATCTCTCTTTATATTTCATCAATGTGTTGATCCATATAA